GTGATCCGATGCTTGTATGCGTGTGTAGAAGCAAGCAGAACACATTTTGAACATTTATTATGAGTTGCTGTGTTGATGTACAACGATAGACATTTGGGCATATGTTTACATATTTTACGTTGTTTTGGTGTCAGGAACCCACCCCAAATTTTGTAAAAGGATTTTTGATACACCCATATATATATATATATATATATATATATATATTTAAATATGTTTGAAACAGTACAGAAACGTATTATGGCATAAAAAGCAAGAACTTTTATATTATAGGCCAGTGCTTTTCAACCTTTTTGTTGGAGCGGAACCACAAGGAAACATTCCCGTGGCTCGAGGAACCCCTGCAATAAATTAATTGTCTTATGCAAAAAAAAAAAGCTTTCAATTATTAAAATAAAATAAAAATACTCATCTTCAGATTTATTTACAAAAAATACAAAGACAAACTGTAAAAACATTGTATACGTACATATGCAATTTTAATTTTGCTTCTATGGTTAATACACATGTTTTAAAAAAACTTCATTTTAAATGGATTATATTTATCATCATTAAAGATTCAATGAGAAACTTGAGCCTGATGTTTCTTGAACAAATCTTTAATATCGGGTTGTGTTTTTGACAGACGAAGTTCATCTTCCACAGACAGCAATTTCCAAATTAATGTGTTAGTCACCGAAAAAAGGCGGTTTTTTAATTTTTACGTTTTCCATTGTAAAACAGTCGTAACGTTTGTTTAATCGCTAACTCAAATCAAAGCAAAATTTTCTGACAAAACTTCAAAAATGTTCGAAGGGATTAAAATTTTTAAAAAATAATTAAAAATTACTTTGATCTTTCCTCTTAATAAAAATATAAACATTTTGATGGAAAAAGTTTGTTTTATTAAGTTTGGGACCTTTTTTTTTAATTCATACTATGCGGTTTTGTTATTGATTTAGCGGAGGTACCTAAGCACACATATCTGTACAGGAGAATTAAAAATTACTGTCAATCCTAGTACTTGTGTAACTTCTTTCGGAAACCCTGGGCTTTATTGGCGGAACGCTAGGGTTCCGCGGAACCCTGGTTGAAAACCACTGTTATAGGCCATGATAGATTTAAAATAAGAACACACACACCAGTCGACTGGTTTCGTCCCCTCTCATCAGAACTGTTAATGGGGAACTAATTAGGTTAATTATGAAGAGAGAGAGAAAAAAAAGTCTGTCATGGATGACATGAATGAATGGACAGGAAAAGAAAAAAATATAATTATAAAAGTTATACCAACAAAGATGCTAGAGGCACAGCACAGCAAGTCCAAGCAAACAGTCTCTTTGTTTACAAAGTGCAGGTCTCCTGGACCTGATGTACAGCGTCTCCAACACCTTAAGATGGAATAATCAGTGTGCTCTGGCCAAAACGGAAAACCAGTTCACACTGAAATCCATCGCACAAGTGGGATTCTCTCTCTCCCTCTCTCTCTCTCTCTCTCTCTCTATATATATATATATATATATATATATATATATATATATATATATATATATATATATATATATATATATATATTGTGCAGCGAGAAATACATATGTAGGTTAATTTAAGTCATTCGAAGATATTACTTGTTAAAGCTATACGACTAAATATTCTAAAATATATTTTTCATAATAAAACTGATATGTTCTGGTTTTATGATTATTAATTTTTGACTAGTATTTGCTTCCATCTTAACATTTTAATCTCCAGCAATGTGTAGACTGTGCGGGACCGGAAATAAAGTATATGCTTCCGCTCACGTCTCTTTTGACTGAATAAAGCTGAGATAAAAGTAATTAAAAACATTAACATGAAAGTAAATAGTCGTCAAAATTAACAATCGATGAAAAAAATTCATATTTGCTAGTTTTAACACGGGAAAATTTCACGGTTTTCCTATTTATATTTCTGGTTAATCTTTATTTTTCAATTAATAATTGAATACGTTTATGGCGAGTTCTATGACAATAAAATATCCGTAGAAATTTCCCATATTTACGCTTATTATCTTTAACAAAATATTGCAATAACTACATGAATCCTTGTTGTTATTTTAAGATGTAAGAAGATACAAATAAAAAGAATTGACAACTTTTCCATTTCACTGAAACAGACGGTAAATACTATTTTCTCTTCTTTCTTTCATTTTCTCACTGAAACAAATTAGCGTCTCTGATATGTCTTATCTTTCCACGTGATCAAAACGGAATTGTCCATTATTTATGTGGCACTGGCAGGGCGTAATGGTCGTGCGAACGAAGTGGGGGACAAGCACAATTATTATGATTATGAGTGTTAATGCAATATTTTGTTAAAGTTGTTCAGCTCAAATATTTAACGATGCAATAGGGAAAATTCTATGTATATTTTATTGTCGTAGAACTCGCCATAAGCTTATCCGATTAGTAACTTAAGAATGGGAGGCACGGTGGAGGCTCGGATTGAGGAATCGGAGAGCCGAGTTCGAATTCCAGCCGAATCCACTACATTCACTTACGTGGGAAAGGTATGAATCCTCTTCTTCTATCCCCAGCTATGGGTAAATAGCGGGACAGACCGGGTTCTATAGCCTTGGATGGCAAATGGTGTACCGCAGAAAGAAATAGCAACCTAGTGCGGGAAAAAAAATCTGCCTCGTCAGTCATGTATCGCCTAAGAGTGTATCCCGCATGGCACATAACTGAACTTAAGAATTAAGAGCATTTGAAATTTTTAAAAAATGAAAACATTCACGATCATTTCCAGATTTTCTTTCTGTCTTTGCATCGGATTAATAATAATGTTAATATTCCTAGGATTAATACTGGGTGGCCGAAAAGTCACACACCCGTTGAAAAAATTTTTAGATTTTATTAATGAAATAATATTTCTGTATATGAAAATATATCATTTTAGAAAATTTATTGGTTGAATTATGGAAGATGATGTCTTACAAATGCATTCCATTTACCGATTCGAAAGAGTGTTCTTTTTTTTTTACAAGGCATTTTCCATAACATGCATCAGTCCGGTTCTAATGTACGAGGTTCGTTTCGCATATTTTCCTTCAACTGTTAAATATTGCAAGACTTAATAATGTAAACGTAGTTCTTGAAGAAACCCCAAAGGAAAAAGTCGGGAGCGATTAAATCAAGCGAATTGGCTGGCCAATTGAATTCGGTTCTTCTTGAAATTAATTGCTCTCCAAACATGTCCCTGAGGAGTCATATAGTCTGTTGCGTTATAGGCTGTCTCTCCATCTTGTTATCATCAAACTTCCGGTGTGTCTTGAAAAGCTGGACTGACAAATTGCTCTAATGTTTCGCGCTATTGGACACCAATTATTGCGTTGCCTCTCTGGTCCTCGAAGAAATACGGACTGATTATTCTGTGTGAAGTCACACCAAACCAAACGGTGATTCTGAGTAGATGCAAAGCACCCTCTCCACCTCGGATTCCAGATACGCCCAAATCTGCTGTTTTGTTATTGACGATACCGCCACCCCAGTCATTATTGTCTCAAGCTAACTGTTGAAAACGATTTACGGCCATATCACGTTGAATCATCGGTTCTCGCCCAATCCCCGAAGTTAAGTAACCTCAAACCTGGTCAGTAACTAGATGTGTGATTGCTTCGGAATACCAGGTGCTATAAGCTTGGGTATGAGAGGATGGCGTGATGCATAACGGCAAATAACGGCAAATAGGACAGTAGAGTTCGGATTCCAGTTGTATTCGTTAAATTCACATGCAAACAACCTTGGGAAAAAGTATGACTCCAACTCTTGTCCTCCCCAGCTAGGGGTAAAAAAAAATGTCCCGCCGATCGGGCAAGACCTGATTAACCAAGGAAAGTCAAACAAAATAAGAAATACAAGAATTTCTTTCAGCTTTTTCTCCATCTCTCATTGTCTGATGAAGCTTTAATAAAAGTAAAACATGTTTCATTCATATACGTTTCCTATTTCATTATATATATATATATATATATATATATATATATATATATATATATACTAATACACAATGAAATCCCAAATCACCTCATATGGGGAATAAGTTTATTTCGACAGAAGAAAATATAATTCGTCACTTTTATCTACCCTGGTATAGAGTTCGTGTCGGAAAATAGAAATTTAACTGTGAAAGTTACAAAGATACAGAAGTTAATAATACAATAATACAGAATTTATCCATTTCAATGTTTCAGTCAGACGAAAGGCACGAGACAGTGGTCAGCGGAAGGTGGAAGGTATTTGTCTTAAGTGGAAGAGGTTTTATAAAATTAAACCCGTATATTAACCTTATGACATCAAATTGGGGTTATATGGAGAATGAATTGTTAATTTGAAACTCAGAGAGGAATAAAAAGGTTTTTAAAAAACTATAAAATATATAAAGTTATATTTAAAAATACAAAGTCATACTTAAAAGTACAAAGACATATTCCAAAGAAAAGTTAGATTTAAAAATAAGTCATATTTAAATAATTTATCTTTAAAAATAAAACTTTATTTAAAAATAAGTTATATTTAATATTAAATAAATAGGTTATGTTTAAAAATAGAATATATTTAAAAAATAAAAATATAATGAAATAGATTAAAATAAAAAAAATTATATTTAAAATAAGTTGTATCTAAAAACAAGTTATATTTATACTAAAAAATACAAAGTTATATATATTATAATTAATATAGTGTAAAGTGCAGAGGACTCTTGCCTAAGATTGATTTTTTTAACTCTAGGTCACCCAATACAAGGCTCAAGATCTACTCAAAGTAGAAGGTTGCTGAATAAAATTGTTGTAAGGTCATGGAGGAGGAGAAAGAAATGCATACTATGAAGATACCAAAGATAGGCACCGGTTGATCCTATACTTGTAGAGGTTATATATATATATATATATATATATATATATATATATATATATATATATATGAAGAGAGTGAGAGTGAGAGAGAGAGATTATAATTTCCACAGACGTTCCCACACACGAAATGTTGCTTGCTTCCCTTTATACTCTCGCTGGTCCACTCTTTCTCTTCCTCCCTGTATATCGGTATTATTTTCATATGTGTGAGAAGTCTGGCTGCTCGGTAATCGAGATTGTACTCTCATATGTCGAAAACGAGGAAATCCCAGTACATACATAGTGTATCAAAAAGGCGTTTTTTTCTCGCCTCAAAACAATGATAAAAGTCCACAAAAACATATGTCTGTAAATCCTTCCTTTTTGAGTTATTAAGTTTAAAGTTTACGATAGAAGTTGTTAAATGTCAATGCAAGATACAATGCAAAAATAATTTTACAAACTTTGGGGCGGGTTCCTGACATCACAACAAGATAAAATGTCTATATAAACATAGGTCTCAAAGGCCATTGTTGTACGTCAACACAGTAACTCATAACAAATTTTCAAAATGTCTTCCGCTTGTTTCTACACACGCATATACCAGTCGGATCATTGACTGGTGGATCCTTTCAAATACTTCCCATACGATGTCGAATGGTTTCGCAGGCTTCCATGACACATTGACGAATCGCCTCTTTAAGGTCATGTCTGCTGTATAAACCAGTTGTTTTAGCTGGCCAAACAGATCAAAATCCAAAGGATTGAGGTCGTGGGGAACGTGCAAGTCATAGAACCAATCCTCGCCTACGTATCCATCTTTCATGACAAATGTCAGCCAGAGCATCGCGATGAATGTAACTAAAATATGCTGGAGTCTGATCATGCTTGAATTACATGCATCTTCGTATTGGCTGGGCTATATCCTCTAGCAAGTTTGCAAGTGTGTTCAAAATCTACTCTAAGATGTTCTGCGAGAATATATAGCACTACTAGTCACCTACAATTCCAGCCTACACATTAATCGTAAAATGATGCTGGTGTCTAGCCTGTATTTGCACCGTGGGGATTCCGATCTTCCCACACATGTTGTTTGTGTAAATTTGTTATCCCATCTCTTCCAAATGTTGTCTCATTCGTAAACAGGACTGAATAGACAAACAACGGTAGTTTATATAATAAACCACTGGTAAAAGTTTTCCCGTAGTGAGTGATCAGAAAGCGAAAAACCCTGAACACGTTATAAATGATACGAATACAGGAGATACTCTTGAATTACCTTCTATGTGGTATTATGAGATGTACGACATGCTAGGGCAACTTGACGTGTGCTGATACCTGGATCGTCCCCGACAACCTGTAGAATGTGTTCTTCTTAGTCAGGCGTAGGAGCGGATCTCGGTCTTTCTCGATCCATAGTTTCTGGTGCCACAGATCCTGTCTCAGCAACGCGGCGATAAACAGCAGCAAAGGTTGGATGGCTCGACTGCCTCCGGTCTTGAAACGCAATCTGATAGAGCCTTGCAGCCTGACGTGTAAAAATACGCGCAGCCATATGTAAAAAATCATATCTGGCTTGAATATCCTGCCCTTCTCAGCTAACTCACTACTACACACATTAAACGTTGAAGATAGAATAGCTAAAAATGTACATGAATGACAAATGTAATCTAGTCTATATGGCAATACAGCGCCATCTACCGTAAACTTTCTTTAAACTTCATAACACAAAAACGAAGAATTTGCAGACATGCTTATATGGACTTTTTTCCTTGTTTTGGCGTGAGGAACCCGCCCCAAATTTTGTAAAAATATCTCAGGAACACTCTATACATCGATAAAATAGAATGCGTGTGTATGTGTATATATGTGCGTCTGTCTGTCTGTCTCTGTGTGTGTCACGTCTACATATCTCGATCGATTTCGATGAAATTGTACACACGTTGATAATTTACCAATGTAGGTCAAGAGCAACTTTTAAAACAAAGTTACAAAGTTTACTTGATGAGCTGATGTTCTTTGCACTTAATGTGCTCATGTTACGAGTTTTATGTAGAATGCTTCATAGTTTTCCCGTGACATTGGCTTCACAAAAAAAAAACTGTGAAAAAATCGAGTTTTTCGTACGACTTAAAACAAAAACTTGAATAACTTCCTCATTTTCTTCAAACATGTCAAAAAAAAATTGCCATCATACACGAAATAAGATAGTCCCGCTCGCTTCCCCGCGAATAACAAAAAAACTGTTCAAAAAGCTCGTTTTTCGATCATAAATCCCTGTCTCTTCATCCGATGCTTTCCAAGTTTGCCATGTAAATTACATATGACACACAATTTGTCTTGCGTGAATGTTTAGTTTAGATTATTTCAGTTAAGTGGACGAAATCTGCGACAAACTAGGTCCAAAATTGGCTTTTGTCATTTAGCCAATAGATTCTTTATATGATTCCATTCTAAATTAGCATTCGAACAACATTTGATGCAAAGATTTTTTGAGAAGCATTATTGAAACGTTAACAGGGAAAAATTCCTGAAGAACCTCTTATTAATCTCAGCTTTATAGTACACATGCGAAGGAGTGGGGCGTTCATGCATTTGCACTTGCAGTTGAAACAAGGTCTGACGTTTCATCCCTGTTTTTGTTTGATTATTAGATTTGTGAACAATGCCATGTTATTTGAAAGTTATTACAACCACAAAAAAATTTACTGAATATCTAAAACATTGAAACAATTTAACAGCGGACAACGACCACACAAGATGTTTTATCGATGGAATTCCTTTGAGAGCAATCAAACACTTGCGACGGACATACCGTAAAAAAGATGATACAAACGGATGATGCATACAAACGAGGACGCAGGCTGAAATTTCTAGACAGTGGGGTACGGGCGTACAGGGGAGTGTGGTCATACAACTGCAGCCATGTACACACGAGCAACGCCAGGTACCTTGGCAAGTATATGTATGCATATATATGTGTGTGTGTAGGTGTGTTTTCAAAATGTCCGATACATTGCAACAGGTTTATTTTCGCATATTTATACAGTTTGAAAGTTGGCAACATCTGAACCAAACACTAATGAATTTAGGGTGTTCCAAAAGTCGTGGAGCAATGGAAAAATTCATAATAATCTTTCTAATCATTTTTTTCTTTCTTTTCCAGATCTTAACTCATCAAACCTTGGCCATTTTTCACTAGGCAACTGCATCACAGGACACAGAATTAAAATTCACCGGTTTTTATTTAGAAAATCGATGGTTCATTTTGTTCACACAGAGGGCTTACAAGCGTCATTAACGAGTGAGGGATTGGCTATACATAATCTAATTCGTCGTTTCTGTCAAATATATATATATATATATATATATATATATATATATATATGTATGTATGTATGTATGAATGGATGGATGGATGGATGAGATACCCAGAGGCGACAGTCTCTTTCCTGATAAATCCAATCACAGATGATCAATGTCCATTTTTTATTTTCACAAACGCTCTATCCCTCATATTGAGAACTTTAACCCATAAATATAGTATACCGTAAAACTATATTTTATCATTTATATATATATATATATATATATATATATATATATATATATCGTGATCCAAAGGTGACTTGACCCAAAGAGTTGTGAACTCAATGCCTGACCACAGCATAGTAAGGTCACTTGGACACAGTCTTTAAGAAAAAGTGCACCATGACGCAATTCACTCCGCCAGAAATTTGGAAACGGCATGCTGTACTGCTTGACATTCGCGCTGGAAGCTCCAATACAAACATTTCAGAGAGAGTGGTGAACGGTCTGGAAAAACTTATTTTGATAGTTCTGATAATAAAATAACGCCAGAATTTGTTAGCGAAGGCTTGAGACTCAACACGGAGGCCTACATCGAAGTCAGTACAAAGATATATATATATATATAATTTTGTACTGACTTCGATTGTCAGTTGTGAACTTTAGCCAGACGAAGCGAAGAGAGGTACCTACATATGCGCAATTTAAGCAAGCGCATACGGATCTATATATATAAACATGTCCTTTGTATTTTTAAGCAGAAAAACAAAACAGTCGCTTTATTTTGGGCATATTATAATTGCAGAGTTTAAATTTATCTCTTAGCAGACCTCAGTTTTGGTACAAGCAAAGTTAATTTTAGATGACAAAAATTGACATTAATAACAGTAAACAATTCAAGTCTTACGAGTAAATTATGCTAAATTCTTATATTTAAATCCAAAATTAAAACTTCAAAGAAAATATTTAAAATTATTTTAAAAAGTTTTAAAATTAAAAATAGTTTGTAATCATTACAATAATCAGTATTTTTTGCGTATCTACTTTGTTAATATAAATTGTACGATATTTTGGGGATATGTAGGCAAAATATGAAAGGTTATCGGGTATACATTCTTTCGTTTTCTTCTTTTTTGTCAACTTCTTCGCTTACTTAATTTTATACTTATTTCATCTTTCATCTTTCCTTCCTTCCTTCCTTCCTTCCTTCTCTTTCTCCTTCCTATCTTCTTTCATCGATTCCTTTCTACCTTTTTTCCCTCCTTCTTTCCCTCACTTCTTCCTTCCTTCACTACCCCCTTCCTTCTCTTCTATATTCCCTGTTCTTTCTTTCTTCTTTGCTTCCTTCCTTTTTTCCTGCCTTCCTTCCTTCCATCCGTTCGTCCATCTTTTCCTCCTTCCTTCCCCCGTCTTTCCTTCCTTCATTACTTCCTTCCCTCTACTTTCCTTCCTTCCTTCCTTTTTCCTTCCTTTCTTCCTCCCTTCCTTCCTTGTTGTTCCTTACTTCCTTCCTTCCCTCCATCATTCCTTCCTTCCCGTCTTCCTTTCTACCTCCTTTCTTCCTTCCTTCCTTCCTTCCTTCCTTCCTTCCTTCCTTCCTTCCTTTCCACCCGCCTTCTTTCCCTCACTTCTGCCTTCCTTCACTACCCCCTTCCTTCCCTTCTACATTCTCTGTTCTTTCTTTCTTCTTTCCTTCCTTCCTTCTTTCCTTCCTTGCATCCTTCCAGCCGTTCGTCTTTCTTTTCTTCCTTCCCTCCCCCGTCTTTCCTTCCTTCATTACTTCCTTGTTCTTTCTTTCTTTCTTCCTTCCATCCATCATTCCTTCCTTCCCGTCTTCCTTCTCTTTTATCCTCTTTCCTCCGCTTTCTTTCCTTCCTTCCTTCCTTCCTTCCTTCCTTCCTTCCTTCCTTGTTCTTTCTTTCTTTCTTCCTTCCATCCATCATTCCTTCCTTCCCGTCTTCCTTCTACCTTCTCTTTTATCTTCTTTCCTCCTCTTTCCTTCCTTCCTTCCTTCTTTCCTTCCTTCCTTCTGAGCCTCCCGCCTTCCTCCCCTACTTCATTACTTGTTCTTTATTAATTGTAATATTTATTTATTTATTTATTTTCACGTTGCTTTTTTTTCCAGTTCTTCGTTCACTTATTTTTCTTACTTTTTTTCTCTTTCCTTCTTTTCTTCTTTCTTTCTCTCTCTCTTCTGGCAGCCGTCTATCCTTGCTTTTCCGAGGTACGTCGGTGGAATGCATAGCAGCTCGGATTGAGGAATCGGGGAGCCGAGTTCGAATTCTAATTGAGTTCGTTGCATCCACTCACGTGCTAATACCCCTTTGGAGAAAGGTATAAATCCGTGTCTTCTATCCTCAGCTATAGGTAAATAGCAGGACAGACTGGGTTCCATAGCCTTGAATGGCAACCGGTCTAGGAGAAGGACAACTCAGAATTTAAAAAGCCTCAACAACTTGCAATTACCTAAGCGTGGTGAGTCAGCCTACACCCCTGAAGACATGAACAATCAAGAGGAAGTTCCAGGTTGTCGTGAAAAGTTTTTATTCCCTGTACTGTTGTTCTGATGTTATTCATATTTCTTTTTTCCATTCTGTTTATCCCTTTCTATTTCTCCATCCCTTTATTCGCTTCCTCGAGTTAGTCTTGCTTCTTTTTCTTCGTTTCTACATTGAATTCTTTTTTTTAATCTTTACTGTGCTCTTTGATTGTTCTTTTATTTATGGCTTTCTTTCTTTCTTTCTTTCTTTCTTTCTTTCTTTCTTTCACTTCTTGTCTCTCCTTTTCCTCTTCCTCTTTTTCCTTTATCTCTTTGTCGTCACTTCGACTCTTTTCTTCCCTAATCTTCTGCTATTATTTATTTATTTTTATTCTGATTCTTCTTTAATTTCTTCTCTTTTTCCTTTTTTTTTTCTTCTTCTCTTTCATTTTCTCTTCCATCTTAGCTCCATTGTTTCCGCACAGTTTCCATCGCCTTCGGACTTTGCACTTATTAAACTTTCCTCGGTGTTAATAAACACAGTGAAAAGAGCAACACAGACGGTAGATGCCGCCACAATCGCAAAAGCAGCCAGGAAAAAAAAAATCTTCTTTAAAAAAAAAAAAAAAACCCAAAAACATTACGTAAAACATATTTATTCAACATTGAATCGCGGATTTTGTTTTTGAATCAAGTGAGGAAATTCCGCAGAAAAAAATACTTAAAATTCCCTCCATTTTCTTGAATCTAGCTTTAGACGACTAATATATTTTTTAATCAAGAATTTCGCTCAATTAAGAAAAAGACAAAGTCTAATTTGATATCGGAAATATTTTTTTTAAACAAGAAACAAATGAAGTCAGCGAAATTTTTGATGGACATCAATCATCTCGTGATTTAAATTTATTTTAGATGTTCGTTTCTTTTTAATAGATATATACAAAATTCGCCAGCGGACTCTTTTTGAAAACATTAGTGAACATTTTTTATTAATATTAAAAATAAGATATAGGGAGCTGGAAACTTTTGTCTACAACTAATATGATTAAGATTTTTTTATACCAAATTATTCGACAGGAAATTGCTGATTTATCTGCATGAAAGATATTGAAAAAAAAATCCATAGAAACATATTTATTCAATCAAAATATCTTGCCACCTTCTCGGCCTCCATACATCTTGGCAGTAGATTATTACTGCCTTTACTTCGCAATTTGTTATCCAAAGAAGTGATAACTTCATTAACGCCTTCTTCAAGATGATTGTGATTGGAACAAATTTGGTCTACAAAGAAATAATCGAAATTCCTCAGAAAAAAAAAATCCATATGTGTGAGGTGCTGAGAATAGGCAGGACGTAATCTCCCTCTTCATTTCATTGATATTAGAAAGGCCGGCATGTTCGGCTAGTGTAATGGATATTGATACCTGACTAGCGTCTATTGCGCTCACTTTTCCTTGGAAAAGGCATGAACCCATCTCTTGGATAGACTTGGAAGAAGAAAGTGGTCCTGATTGAGTCCAAATAATTCATGAAATGTTTCGTGACTTGAGAGAATTAAGAATTTTAATGAAGGAGTTTAAATACAAAATTAAAAACTGTATGGAAGATTAGTTGACCAGATTTGAAGCTGATAGACGAAGGTTCGGTTTAGAAATATTAACCAGAACCTATAAAATATTTATGAAGATGGCATTTGGGGGTAAATCCTAAATAAATCGAGTAAGATTTAGTAAATTCACTATGACTGAATTTTCCTCAAGCCCAATTTACAAAACCAAGGAAGTTCTGGTTACACGATTAATATGTTTACCAAAAAAAACAACTGTTTATTTAACGAACTATCCTCCCACATGACATTGATTCTTACGAAAATTGGGCTCAGAATCTGGACGAAGGTAATTTTGGAAGGGCCAAATACTTTGCTAATATAGATTGGTTTGGTTCATTTTTACGACATATCAAGCTCAATGGATTGTTCATGCCAACTAGTTTTTTTAGGATATGTTCGTATGAATCAGATTTGAACACGATGTGTATCTTATCCTGTAGTAGATCTATGTTAACTTGCTTTACATTTTGCTGAATGACCACAAATATTATTCCTGAAAGTCCATTGTTGAATTTTTTAAACTTAGATAAATCAATTTTTGCCTCCGTACCTCATACATTTTGCTCCATAATGTACACATGCACACACACACACACGCACACATACACACAAACATACACACACACATGAACACAAATATAATATATATATATATATATATATATATGTGTGTGTGTATATATATATATATATATATATATATATATATATATATATATATATATGTGTGTGTGTGTGTGTGTGTGTGTGAGAAAGTTTCTAGTCGTAACGCGACATTCAGATGACCTGGGATTTAAGTAATTTACTGGGGTTTGACTTTAGGCCTTTTTACTCTTTTCTTTTACAGTATTTCCTGTTTTATTCGAGACAGTATATGGATAACACTGTTAGGTTTTTGGTTCCATCAATAGTTTTTGCTTTATATATATATATATATATATATATATATATATATATATATATATATATATATAAAAAAAAAGGCTTAAACACTAATATTCCATAGTCATAATTTATTCCAGTGGAATCGTAAATACGATCCAATTCATCAGACCTACAAATTCAAAAAGAAAACAGAAAAAACAACTCCGGAAATAAAAAATAAAATTTAGAGAGAGTGTAAGTATGAGAGTGTGGGACGAATGTTAGAGCTAAAGAGAGGGGTAACAGACGAGAGAAGGTGGGAGATTAAAATAGAGAGAAGTTTTAGAGAGGTGAGGCAAAGACAGTTTAAGTGAGAGAAATATGAATGTTGTTGGATGTATTATCTCTCTCTATCTCTCTCTCTATCTCTCTCTCTATCTCTCTCTATCTCTCCCTCCCTCCCTCTCTCTCTCTCTCTCTCTCTATATATATATATATATATATATATATATAGATAGATAGATGGGAAAAAGTTATATAATATTTTATATACCAGGACAAAGTTGGCAAAAATATTTTCTTAATAAAAAACTTAATTAATACAAAACAAAATAATAATAATAATAATAATAATAATAATAATAATAATAATAATCTAAAGCTTGAAGGGGAAATTTATTCTATCAACTGAAGAAGGAAATTACTGGAAAGTAATTGAAACTCACCTGAAGCGAGCTGAATCTATAATGCTCCTCATGCCAATGACACTTCCACCGAGCTTCTCAACGGCATATGATTTCACTGAATTTTGATGTGTTCCTCTCGAATTTTAAACTGGGGTCATCAGGAGAGAATGTGCACCGTTTAATAATTGCCGCAAGGAATTTAATTAAAAGTTTATATGAATACATAAGGAATCATAATTGCCATTTAAAAATATGGTATTATAATTAAAACAGAATGCAATTTACTATGATAAAAATTTATTGAAAGTGCTTTAATCGCGAGGATCATCCACAATAAATTTGCGTCCAAATTCTTCCAATATTTCAACTTTCTTAGTATAACTTCTATTATCACAATGTTGGCTAATTAATAACAGAAGTGATAAAAATATAAACAAAAATTTAAGCGTCTTCTCTCTTAACTGCTCATGTCTAGTTACATCGATGTTAAGCATCACTTTAGCCCGAGGAAGTACTAAAGTACGGAACGCGTGACATGAAAAATCTGTTCACTTTGTCATTGATTTTCCCTATATATATATATATATATATATATATATATATATATATATATATATATATATATATATATATATTAATGAATATATAATATCCAACGTTGATAGCTCGACTCGGAGTTTCATGCAAACCTGCAATCTTCAGGTGTTGAATACATTGTGGCAGTTATAGCGTTATAAAATTCGTGTCCTTGTGGTGTTGATTTAAAATTGTGCATTAAGACTTGTTTATTGTATTACTGTTACCTAAAATATTATAATTAATTATAATTTATATCATTCAAATTCTTAAGATCGAAAGACGAAGAATTAAAAAAAATTTTCATTTAAAATAAAAATTAAAAATTACTATGAGTACTAAGTTTAATCCATTAGACTGTACTTTTAATATGCAAATAAGAGAGTTATCCCCCTTGATACATGACGTGTTTACTTAATTTCTAATTTAAACTTTTTAATTTAAAATATTTTTTAATTTTTACATTTATTTATCTCTCTTTCCCATCCTCTTCATATCAGTGTGCTTTTCTTTCTCTTCCCCACCCTCTTTATATCTATCGTCTCCTCTTTCTCTCTTTTCTATCCTTTTTATATCTATCTTCCCTTTCTCTCTCTCCTGTCCTTTTCATATTTATCTTCTTCTCTTTGTCTTTTTCCCGTCCTCTTTATATCTATCTTCTTTTTCTTTCGTTCCCATTCTCTTCAAATCTATTTGCTTAGCCTCTTCATATCTATATGCTTATCTCTCTTTCTCGTCCACTTTATATCTGTCTATTCTTTTTCTCTCTTTCTCATCCACTTCAAATCTACTAGTCTTTCTCCCTTTCCCGTTCTTTTCATGCTCATCTGCTTTTCTTTCACCGTTTGACACCATCTTCATATCTATGTCTTTTCTTTCTTTCTTTCTTTCTTTCTTTCTTTCTTTTTCTTTCTTTCTTTCTTTCTTTCTTTTTCTTTTTTCTTTCTTTTTTCTTTTTCTTTCTTTCTTTCTTTCTTTTTCTTTCTTTCTTTTTCTTTCTTTCTTTCTTTCTTTTTCTTTCATTCTTTTTCTTTCTTTCTTTCTTTCTTTCTTTTTCTTTCTTTCTTTTTCTTTCTTTCTTTCTTTCTTTCTCTTTCTTTCTTTTTCTTTCTTTCTTTTTCTTTCTTTCTTTCTTTTTCTTTCTTTCTTTTTCTTTCTTTTTCTTTTTTTTTCTTTCTTTCTTTTTCTTTCTTTCTTTCTTTTTTTTCTTTCTTTTTTCTTTCTTTCTTTCTTTCTTTTTTCTTTTTTTTTCTTTCTTTCTTTCTTTTTTCTTTCTTTCTTTTTCTTTCTTTCTTTCTTTCTTTCTTTCTTTCTTTCTTTCTTTCTTTCTTTCTTTCTTTCTCCCTAACTCATTTTATTCATCCATCTCAATTATTGTCTGTTTATATCCAATTATTCCAATTTTCTCTCCTCACATATTTATTTCATTGCATCTCCCGTTCAGCTTTTCTATCTGCCTTACCACTCCCTTCTCTCCCCCTCTACTTGTATTTCTTTTTGTTTTCTCCTAATTCCTCTTTCTTTACACCTTCCCCCCCTTATGACACCATATCATTACGTCTCTCACATAATCTTTCTCTCCTTAATTTTTCTCTTTCTCTCCCTTCTTTCTTTTATACTGTATCTCTCTTCATGTGACTCTCTACGTCACCTAATATTTGTATCTTTTTACATCATTCCCTCTTTTCCTCTCTATTTTTCCTTATATCTTTACATCTCTTCCACCCCCTCTTTCTTTCTGTATTCCATTCTCTTCATTTCACACTTTCCGGCTAACTTTACTTTTTATATATTTACATTTTTTTTTGTCTCCCGCGTAATTTTCTCCCTCGTTTGCATTTCTACCTCTGCTTTTTTTCTCTTTTCCTTTCTTATTCTCTCTCTCTCTCTTTCTCTCTCTCGAAAAAAGAGAAATATATATATATATATATATATATATATATATATATATATATATATATATATATATGCATGTCTTTCTTTTTCTTGCTTGTCTTTCATTTCTTTTGTCTCATATTTCTGCCACCCGTGGCTTTTCTCCTACCCCCAATAGCGGTTGTCTGTTGTCTGCAAACAGTTACCGAGATAATATGGCCGACTCCCGCCTTGTCTCTTTTATGCTTTATTGATAGGCTTTTAATACTATTAATGTCGTCTGCAATGGCGAAGCAGGCTTTAATCTAGTCAGCCATCATCTCTCTTTGATCAGCTGCCTGTTGGAACATGACAAAGTTCGGGCAGCATCAAAGCGCAAAGTCTACGGGCCTCTGTGCACACATTCACACATGATCACGAACGCAAGCTCAAATTCACACGCACAGGGAGGTAGACACGGGCTCAAGTTACGTACAGGCTACACTTATGGAAGCGTATATTATTAAACCAGAAGATCGGCGCTCTATCATTTCCACACACAGACACGTAAATGTATCTACATATCAAGGAAGAGAGAGAGAGAGAGAGGAGGGAAGAGAGAGAGAGAGAGGAGGGAAGAGAGAGAGAGGGAGAGACTGAGAGAGGGAAGTTACTGACACATCCATCCGTAAACCACGCACACCCGGAATGAAAGAACGAAATTCGATACGTTCGATACAATAGCACACGCGGATGCGAGCATATGCGCGTACAGGCAGAACGCTGCGTACACCGAAAGAGGGATGATGCCCACGTGCAGAGAAATCCACTCTCCCTACACACGTACACAGAAGTGTGTGTGTGGGGGGGGAGCTGAAGAAAAGGAGTCGAAAGTATTCGATGGTCAAACGTAAACGGACCGATCATTTTCTCAATCGATCTATCGATTTCTTTCTCTCGATATTTGTAGCTATTGATGTATCGAAATCAAAATCCATCACTAATTTAAATTTCTATCATGAGAAATCACTGATACATACTCTCTCTCTCATTCTCTTTCTTTCTCTCTCTCTCTTTCTCTCTTTCTCTCTCTCTCTTTCTCTCTCTCTCTCTCTCTCTTTCCACCACATAGAATAGTCAGAATTTATTATGCAATTTCATTATGCAAGTCAATGTTTTTACAACAAAACTGGTATTAAACAACAGATGTTAGTAAACTTTTCAGGACAGTATCTCTATATATCTCTATAATAAATAACCCTGTGAATATCTTTCATCTGTTTTTCATAAGAATTTAATATTATTATTCTGTGGTGTAAGACTTTATTATGCAATGAGAGGGTTGCTCATAAATCAATATATATTCATATTTCTATCTATCTATCTATCTATCTATCTATCTATCTATCTCAGTTTGTTCATCTATATAGCTATCTACATATCTCAGTGTGTTCATATCTATCTATCTATCTATCTATCTATCTATCTATCTATCTATCTATCTATCTATCTATCTATCTATCTATCTATCTATGTATCTATCTATCTCAGCCTGTTCATATCTATCTATGTTTGAGCATTATCTATTTCAGTGTGTTCATATCTATCTATCTATCTATCTATCTATCTATCTATCTATCTCAGCCTGTTCATATCTATCTATCTATGTTTGAGCATTATCTATCTATTTCAGTCTTTTCATATCTATCTATCTATCTATCTCAGCCTGTTCATATCTATCTATCTATGTTTGAGCATTATCTATCTATTTCAGTCTTTTCATATCTATCTATCTATCTATCTATCTATCTATCTATCTATCTCTGTTTGTTTATCTATATATCTATTGTCCATATCTATCTCAGTGTGTTCATATCTATCTATCTATCTATCTATCTATTTTTGAGCATTATCTATTTCAGTCTTTTCATATCTATCTATCTATCTATCTATCTATCTATCTATCTATCTATCTATCTATCTATCTCTCTGTCTATCTATCTATCTATCTATTTATCTATCTATCTATCTATCTATCTATTTTTGAGCATTATCTATTTCAGTCTTTTCATATCTATCTATCTATCTATCTATCTATCTATCTATCTATCTGTCTATCTATCTATCTATTTATCTATCTATCTATCTATCTATCTATATATATATATATATATATATAAGTCTGTTCATTATCTGTCTATGTATGTATGCATCTAGCCATCCATTTCCGTCTGTTTATACCTATCTAAAATTTAAAGCGTAGCAAGAAAGAAAAATCAATTGATTACAAAGAAAACATTTCAAGAAACTGTTTTAGAAAGAGAAAAAGATACAAAATATTAAAAATCATTAACTAAAGACAAACGCAACCAAACTGACAGGTAAACGTTACAAAGAGAAACGCGTAAGTTGGTCGAAGAAGTAAATGAAAACTGATTTCTCAGTAGTAATGTTCAGTGATGAATATGGAACTCTATTGGATGGAGCTGATGGCTTGGCTGGGTTGGTTCCTTCATAGGAATAGTCTACCTAAGACGTAACATAATGGTATTATATTTTGTGCCGAGTTTTGTAGGCACTAAAATTAGAGATCTTTTCAAATTGATGATGGCCAAGATAAACAAAGGAAAATATTGTAATATCTTCTTTTTTTTTTTTTTTTTTTGGTACACAACCAATAAGCGTTAAAACATCTTGGTTGAGAAGTGTACACTCAGGGAGACACGGTGGAGTAATGGATATCGGAATCGGAGAACCAAGTTCGAATTCCAGTCGAATCCATTCACTTATGTGCTAATACCCTTGGGAAAGGTATGAATCCTCTTCTTCCCCCCAGCTATGGGTAAATAGCAGGACAGACTGGGTTCTATAGACTTCGATGGCAACTGGACTACTGCAGAAAAAATGGCAACCTACAGCCGGAAAATATCTTTCAATACCTGATCACCTAAGCGTGTATCACGCGTGGCACATGATCACTCATAAATAAGTGTCTATTTTTGCACGATAAGCCTCCTTCACATTCTGAAAAACTGTCTATCGCCCACTATGCGAAATGATGTTTCAAATGGGTCAAATTAATGTAACCCCCCGCCCCGCTTATCGAGATATTAATCCAACAGAAAATTTGTGTTCATCTCGGGCCTTCGTAGAGAGAGTGAAACACAGAGAGTAAGAAGTATAATTTACGTGGATATGTGGGAAAGATAACGGTTGAATCATAGACATGTATAGGTTAAGATTGCAGTGATAGGGAAACCTCTTGGGTGTCGGTTCTCCAAAACAACTAATTCAATGAAGGTGTTTGGCTACAATGGGCGTGGCATGGCGGATCTTAACTGTGAAGATTAGAATTGGTGAAACTAAGAAACAGTTTCTATAGCGAGAGCCATAGAGCAGGGAGAGGCTTGCGACATTTCGTCAGGGAGAAAGGGATTCCAGGTTGGAAAATAATTCACCACCCACAAGGACGCAGAGATGCTTTTGGGCTCTACTAGAATATAAACAAATAATAAAACAACGAATAACTCTAGGAAGAGAAAGAAAATTCTATATATCATGTTAAACTCGAAAACAATAGAAAAGTTAAGACCAATGGCAGGAATAACTTTCATTGTTACAGGATATCGACGAAGCCATGTATAATAAATTATTAAAATAATAATTTATTCAGATTTATAGGGTATCCTATTATTCAAATATCTTTTTATGGTCTATATCTTTTGGATTGATTTATAAATAAACATTGACGTTGGCCTTCTTTTGGATCATAAAACCTGACACTCACCAAACAAGTTCGCTTCAATATTTTAATAAGGATTACAAGCTGAAACTCATGCAATACATGACATATAAATATACAGGGTGCGGATGGGTAAATTGTCGGCATTTTTTTTTTTTTTTTAGTTTCGCGCATGCGCGTTGTTTGTCTTTGATTTTGTCGACTGCACATTATAGTAGGATAATTTAGGCACCGTCTGTGAGAAAAAGAACACCATGACGCAATTCACTCCGCTAGAAATTTGAAAATGGCATGCTGTGCTGTTTGGCATTCGCGCCGGAAGCTCCAATACGAACATTTCAGAGTACTTGGGTATCTACCTGAGGACAGTGCAAAGGATTCGGAAAGAGTTGATTGAGTCAAATTGTGATGACAAAGGTGTTTGGAGTGATCACTAATGATCCATTCATCTTCCCACAGGACCTCAGACTCAATACGGAGGCCTACATCAAGTGCCTTGAGGAGGTAGTACTGCCCTGAGACAAGAGGGTGGCTGTTGAAAAACCCTATGTCTGGCAACAAGACTCTGTGGGGCGCAGTTGAGCGAGAGAGCAACAAAAACTCCTTGTAACACCCAAGATGAATTGAACGCAAGGATTATGCCAGCATTCACCATCTTATGCAAAGACCATCCAAAAGAGTTGCAGGAGATTCCAAAGTTGTCTGGAGGCCGTGGTTGAATCCAACGGCAATTTTATTGAATAAATTTACTCCTTAGTATTTCAAGATATCTTTATGTAATTTTTGTGAATTTCTGTTAAAATGAGATGTCAGTGTTATTTCCATTTTTGCGTAATTTAGGCGACAATTTAGCCATCGCGCTATATATATATATATATATATATATATATATATATATATATATATATATATGTTCTTTTTAATTTATTTTGCTTAAACGTAGTTTCTGATAGACACTCATATTCGAAGCTATGTTTTTTTTTTTTTTAATTAAACATTATTTTTATCCAACTATATCTCCCGGTCTGAATATTCTAGATGTAGATGAATAAAGAAAAATACTGAAAATACTGTTTAATAAAAAGAAAACAGCGCTTCTACTCCATATGAATATCCATCAAAAGTAACGTTTAAACAAAATAAATTAAAAACTATCAATATGATAGTTTTAATCCATTTATATATATATATATATATATATATATATATATATATATATATATATATATATATATATACACTAAAGAGCTAAGATACAGTGAAACAGTCTGTTGATGACAATATATATATATATATATATATATATATATATATATATATATATATATGAATCTTATTACAGTCGAGCACTCTTGGACTACTATTGCTAATACTGCAAAGCTCTTCCATGCATTGAGCCCTATTGGTTACTGGCGTGTTTATTCGAAGAATAAGGGCGTAAAAATTAGCCTTACTCTCAACCGAGTCGGGTTTCGATTTGGCTTGAGGCAGTTGGATGTCTATCCACACTGATGAGCAAACATATAAAAACCACGCACACTTGAACCCACAAAGTGTTGATAAACCGTAAAACATCAAATCAATCAATCAATATGCTAGATTGAGAGAGAATTAAGCAGTAGAAATATAAATAGGGAAAGGTGAAATACTGTTAGAAAGGGGAGAGAAACATAACAGAAACACAAGAGAGAGAAAGAGTGAGAGAGAGCGGAGAGTGGGGAGAGAGAGAAGCGAGAGAAGAGAGTGAAGGGAGAAAGAGTGTGGAGAGAGAACAAGGATAGAGAAGAGAGAGCAAGGAGAGAGAGAAGAGTGAGAGGAGAGAGTGAAGAGAGACATAGGAGAGAAAAGAGAAGAGAGAGAAAGAGTGAGAGAGAGCGGCCGCAATTTTCGACGGATTTTTACCAAAATTTACATACACATGCTCCAAGTTGGCGGAAAGGCCAAGACCGACTTTGCATTTCCCAATTCCCGTCGATAGTGAAAGTAATCGATTTTTTCATGCTTCTACGTCACTTTTCATGTAGTTTGCGGCCATTTTCTACTGGCCACAGTGAGAGCCAACAGCTGATTGACACGAATGTTAACTAGCATGCTAGCATGCAAAAAAATTCGATAGCTGCATTCGTCACAAGTGGGAAAAATTTAAATCTGCATGGCACTTTATTCCAATTGGCTCATTCGCTTGCTTAAACTCAACGTTGATTCTGATTCCGCAGAATTGGGTTGGGTGTGAAAAAGTATTTGTTGTTAACATTCTTTTTTCATTCGGTTTTTCCAGTTACGAGTCCTTTTTTTAAAGCTGATCGTTTTGTGTTTATTTTGTTTAGTTCTTTTTTCGTAACAGATTTAATGTTTAGTATAGAGCTTAGAAAAAATTCGCAGTGTGAGATAGGCAAGAAGTAAGGCATGTAGCAACATCAGCACGGCAAAGGGCACACCATTAAAGGCAAAGAAGGGCAAAAATATTTTAAGTCAAGTGATAGCGATTGCTGTATGAGTCGTACGATTTTTGAATCATGCACGGGCAACGCCGGGCCATGCTGCTAGTATATATATATATATTTTTACAGTCGGTTAATATCTACAGAAAATGATGGTGTTCATACAGACCTTCGCGATGTGTGACATCGTCATTAAAAGTGAATAAACAGAATCCAGTACATGTGCTTTGCATTACTCTATTACTTGTTCTTCTATGGTTTTCATTTCCTTTTGGTGGTAGGTGACAAGACTTTCGGACCACCCTGTGCATTTATTCTGTTCAAATCACAATTTATCAATTTATTTTCTCTCTTCTCTCTCTGCTCACTCTCTATTTTCTCTCTCTCCCCCTCTTTCTCTCTTCTCTCTCCCCCTCTCCTCTCTCTTCTCTCTCCCCCTCTCCTCTCTCTCTTCTCTTTTCTCTTCTATGTCTCTCTTCACTCTCTCCTCTCACTCTTCTCTTTTCTCTCCTATGTCTCTCTTCACTCTCTCCTCTCACTCTTCTCTCTCTCCTTGCTCTCTCTTCTCTATCCTTGTTCTCTCTCCACACTCTTTCTCCCTTCACTCTCTTCTCTCGCTTCTCTCTCTCCCCACTCTCCGCTCTCTCTCACTCTTTCTCTCTTTTGTGTTTCCTGTTACGTTTCTCTCCCCTTTCTAACAGTATTTCACCTTTCCCTATTTATATTTCTACTGCTTAATTCTCTCTCAATCTAGCATATTGATTTGATGTTTTACGGTTTATCAACACTTTGTGGGTTATTTAATGCTGGAATATATTTTAGATAACAAGAATAACGCTATTTTGCGTGTGAATATTAATATTAACAATTTTTTTTAGAATGATAATGATTTTTTCAGGTACAAAACCTCCTATTTAATCCATAGCTGGAGGGGGAGATTGACTTATACCTTTCTCAAGAGTATTTGTGTGTATGTAAATATAACGAACTCGACAGGAATTCGAACTCCGCTCGCCATCTCTGTTTTTCTGTCATGTTCCTTTCACCTCACTTTTCTAATTCTATTTCCCATCAACATTTCTCTTGCTCTCACCTTTCTCTCACTCTGTTTATCAATTTAGTCTTTCTTTCTCTCTTTCTCTCTTTCTCTCTTTCTCTCGTATTTCTATCATGTTTTCTCACCTGTCTTTCTCGAGTGTTACTTTTTAATACTCCTTCCCTCCCATAATTCCCTTCTGTCTTTCTCTCCCTTTTTTTTTTTATCTCACTCACAGATCTTTTAGAGTCACACTTCTACACACGTGTACAATCCGACAGATGTGTACACAAGCAAAGAGGTAGGCATCTCTGACCATATGTTAGGCCGTCCATACTTTCGACAATAAGAGACAAAGAGATAGACACAAAAGAACCGGAGAGCGATACAGTGCTTTATAGATAGATTCACTTATATGATTAGACTTATACGCTATTATGAACAGCATTAAAGTTCAAAGTGCCTGTGTCACGACACGGATTCGTAGACCAAAGCCCAACGAACACCCAAGAGTGCTTCACCGTCATTGTATAAGCTGTACAAACATGCGTGTATAACGACGCACGGACATTCGCTAAAATATCTCAAAATGACACAGAGAAAGAAAGAGAAAATAAAAAAGAGAAAGAGAGAGAGAGAGAGAGAGAGAAGGTGAGGGCTTGTGTTGGATGAAGCGTGTAGAAGGTGAAGCCGTGTCTATAATGGTCCATACCCGCAAAGAATAAAAATATAAACCTCTTTTCTTTTGTGGAATAAAAAAAAAACCCACAAATACATGTGAGGGCAAGCAATCAAGTTTATTTATGCTTATGCCAAAGTGGCGTGTCGATGGTAGAGAGCAAGAAAGAATTGCTTTAAATTTAATATTAAATGCATTTGTAAAAAGAGAAAAAAGGCAAAATATTAAAAAGAAACTAACACGAATGCTCGAAAACACATATACACGCACATGCATAAATCATATAAAATAAACATTATGGAAAATATTATAAAAAAACTGTAAAATATTAAGTATAACAATAAAAAAAAATCACTTTTAATTGCATAAAACCAATGGATTGCCCTCTAAATGGATAATGCTTGACTAACAGCATCATTTATAGAGCTAAAGTTTAGTCCGAAGAACTATATACAGAGTGCATATTTAGAGAAAAATACAGCAACCATACAATTTCTTTAAAGTTTGATTGATTGATTCGTTTTCTACGGCTTATCAACTCTTTGCAGCACGTATTTTAAATTGTAAGAGTTTTTGTTTTTTTAGACAATAATAATTTAGTGATACGAGTCTTACTAATTAACCCATAGATGGGAAGAATATGTGAATTGATGCCTTTCGCAAGGGTATTTGACATGAATGAATATAACGAACCCAACCCGAACCCAATTAATAATTCTGAGACATTATCCATTACACAACCGGCACATCCAAACTTACAGCACCTGGTATTCCCAAGTAGTCATCCATCTAGATACTGACCAGGTGACGCGGTCGTAAGCCCTTCTAAAGTTAAGTAAATACTATAATAACACCGCCTATCCAAATACATCTAGAAAATAGACAACGACACTCTTTCCAGATATCAAATTGATGTTAAATAGCATCTGAATCTGTATATATATATATATATATATATATATATATATATATATAATTCCTTCGCTTCCATCGGATTATTTTACCTATCGAGTTCTTTCCTATTTTTTATATATTTTCACACACACACACACACACACACACACACACACACACACACACACACACAAATATATATATATATATATATATATATATATGTGTGTGTGTGTGTGAAAATATAAAAAAATAGGAAAGAACTCGATAGGTAAACAATCCGATGTAGCGAAAGAATCATATTTTTAAATATATATATATATATATATATATATAGAGAGAGAGAGAGAGATAGATAGATAGATAGATGATGATGATGATGATGAAGGACTCTCCCGTCGATTTCGACGTATGAGGATCCGACAACCCCATTCAGTTTTTATGCTTGTGTCGTATGTGCCACATCATTTCCGCTAGTGACCTGCATAAAAGTCTACATATTTTGCAACAGCGAGAATCTCAGGACATAGCAACAGAAATATTTGCTGACGCTTTTCGCCGTTGTCTTTCGTCACTTAGCCAATCAATGCGACTGATTTCGAAATTTCGGATAGCACTCTGGTACAAATACCTATCCAGCGAAACTCGCTGGAAATTAATATAAGGCACATTGACAGCTGAGAGATTACTCTTTAGTTTGTCTATATACTTGAGCCACGGTCGTCCAACACTACTTTGTCCACTGTGAAGCTGGCTATACATGAAGAACTTAGTTTTTCTGTCGTCACTCATCCTTACAACATAACCATCGCAGCGAAGTTGTGACTGCACCAGGTAAGTGCCAATTCAACCAATGTTGCTTTTTGCGAGATCAACATTAGACAGCCTATCGTCAAAAATATAGTCACAGATCGCACGGTGACAAATTATACAGAGATAGAAACTATCTAATTAAAAGCAGGTCATAATTCTATAAATAAAATCTAGTCAGATGATCCCTGACCAGAAGGGTGGAACTTAATCTGCTATGGTATCTATATTTTTAATTTTATGATTATGTTCATTTAACCTCTACACAGTATTTCTGAACGTTTTTCTATTCAGCGAGTTTAAATCAAGAAGCTGAGTGAAGTCAACCAGGTTGTACATCTAAATACATCAGACACCAGAAATATGAAATTTAAATTTAAAATTAAAAGTCCTTACATTTTCAGCGTTCCTCCCGGTGTATAATTATAAAAGATAGACTCTACTGGCAGTCATAGAACTCCAGAAAGTTTTGTCTCCTTCCTAAACCAAACAAGCATTGATACATTGTGTCACATACTGTGTTGGCCGATACATTGTCTGGAAGATTGCAAAATGTAGCTGTTTAGTGAGGAAGATGATATAGGACGATGAAATTGGGAAGTTGCTTGAAACAATGTAATGAAAAAAAAGAAGAAAAATAAGTTATTCAATGAAATCAAAAATAAAAAGTCTTTGACGTTTTTGTTTTAATTAATAATCTAAAGAAACATTTTGATGATATTTTCATGTTCGAGCCACATAAATATGAAACTTTCAGCCACACAGTAAGCTCGATTATCATTCTATATATATATATATACACTGTCACACTAACATGCGCATACACGATGAATCAGGCCAATATGCATACACTACAGTTCAAAAGTTTGAAGCTACCTCTAGAATTAGCATGGGATGAACTTAACAGAAGAGTGAAAAAAAAATGAAATTAGAATCATTAAAAAAAAGCAGAATCAATTATTAAACTCTTACTTTGAAAAACGAATGCCAAAAATTTGTGCTGGAATAATCAATGTTAAAAGAGGATATTTTGATGAGAACAAAATTTAATCATAAATTACTTTTTTGTTTTTGTCATAATAAAATTTCTAATAAAAAATGATGCCTCACTTTTTTTTTAAGTAAGTATAATAATTTTTCTTATTTAAAGTACAAAACGACTACATTTGGAGCCAATTTAAAAAAAATTATCAGGGAAGGCTTGTAACTTTTGAGCTGTAGTGTACATACATATCAAATCGGACAAACACACACATACACCATATCATCTTTTTTCTTTATTTTTTAAGATTCATTCCATATTCTTTGTGGTATTTTTATTACAAATCCTTTCTTTTCTGCTTCCTCCAAGTTTTTAACTTTCAAGGTTCTCGAATTTTTATTATATCCTCCACCTTTTAACCTATTGTTTTTCTTTTACTTCTTTCTTTTGTTTTTAAATTTCTTTCGATCTCTTTGCTTTTTTATCTATCTATCTATCTATCTATCTATCTATCTATCTATCTATCTATCTATTTTTTTAAAAAAATCAACAATGCCACTAAGACGCAAGGGACTGCTGGAAGCGAAAGAGGATGAAAAAAGTTTAAAAAGAAAACGGAAATCCGATCCTAAACAGAGAACAAGGAAATAACCTCTAGTCCTATTTAAAAGACCCGGGGTGAACAGGTGTATAGGCGAAGCTATCCACTCCTATTGAGGAGAAAAAATAAATAGTAAATCAAATTTCAGAGTTTAATCGGAGACATTAGAAGTATAGAGTTGAAGTAGACTTTAAAAGGAACCGGAAACCCAATCCGAAACAGGAAACAAGGGATAAATATCTACTACTGTTTAAATGACTGAGGAGGAGAGTGAACCGGGTGATAGGCGAAATTATCTATTTCTATTGAAGAGAAAAACATAATTAGTAATTAAAATTTCAGAGTCCAGACGAAGCTGTTAGGAGTATAAACATCTAATCCTGTTACAAACCTTATCTATCTATCTATCTAGCTAGCTAGCTAGCTATATATCTATCTATCTCCATGTGTTTATCTATTTCAAACTTTTTATATGTATCTCCGTCTGTTCAACTATCTATCTATCTATCTATCTATCTATCTATCTATCTATCTATCTATCTCATTCTGTTCATATCTATCTATCTATCTACCTATCTATCTATCTATCTATCTATCTATCTATCTATCTATCTCAGACTGTTCATATCTATCTCCGTCTGTTCATCAATTTCAGACTATTTATATCTATAATCATCTCTTTACTTATCTATCTATTTCAGCCTTTTCGTATTTATCTCCGTCTATCTATCTATCTATCTATCTATCTATCTATCTATCTATCTATCTATCTCCATGTCTTTACATATTTCAAACTTTTTATATGTATCTCCGTCTGTTCAACTATCTATCTATCTATCTATCTATCTATCTATCTCATTCTGTTCATATCTATCTATCTATCTATCTATCTATCTATCTATCTATCTATCTCTTTTTTGTATATATCTTTTTCTTTCTCAGTATTTAACCCACTTTTTATTTGGCTTTCTTCCTTTTCTTTCTCTTTCTTCTTATTTTCTTCCCTATTTTTGTCACTTTAATCCTTATTTCTTGATTGTTTCTTTGTTTTTTCGTAATTATTCGTATTAATCATTTTTATATACTTATTTCTTGGAAACTCTCATTCTTTTTTTTCTTTCATATTTTTCTTTTTTTGTATTTTATTCGATCCTCTTATTTCTGTGTTTCTTTCCTTTCGTTATTCCTGTTTTTTTTCTTTTTATATATCATTTTTTTTATTTTTCTTTCTTTGTCTATTTAATTCTTTCTTTCTTCTTTCCTCACTCTTTCTTTGTGTTTTTTTCTTCCTGCTAGACTTTCCAACGCCAAGCTCAAAAAGCCACCCACCATCGATCGACATTCCAAGAAGCTCAGGAACAATTGCCATTCTTGGAGTAAAAAATGCCATCAGTGACTGCTTTCCTTAGCCCGACATCTCGTCAGTCCAATCATGACAGGAGAAAAGAGGACAACAACAACAAAAAAAAGTGACAAACAAAGAATTGTGCGTTAAGAAGCCAAAGAAGAAAGACAAATGGCGAGGTGAACCGGTGGATCAAGCTCGTTTTCCCTGGCGTGGCATTGTCGCAGAGATGAAAGCAATGAATTCCCGGTTGACTTTTAAGGTCCAACCAGTTCGGAGTAACGCATTTTCGCATTTGCCAATGGATGACGACCTTTTCAGTTGAGTACGACAGCTCAAATGTTTCCAAGCAGGAAAGAAACATTGCTTGTCATACTGTCATAAGATGCATCCGCTGGGCCGGCGACGACTATCTATTGATCGATCTCACTCTGCTTCTATCTATCTATCTATCTATCTATCTATCTATCTATATATCTATCTATCTATCTATCTATTAAATAGCTACCTAGTTTCTTACATATATACAATAAGTATGTCCTGTAAATTCTCAATCAATTCATATCTATCTATCTATCTATCTATCTATCTATCTATCTATCTATCTATCTATCTATATATATATATATATATATATATATATATATATATATATACAGATATTATAATTTATTTATTAACTATAATCTTTACAAGAAATGGTTATGAGAGGAAAGTTTTTGTATGAGACTTTATTTAAAATTTGTTATGGATACCAGATTTCGCTACCAGCTTCTCGAGCCGCCCAGGAATCGCGTAAAGTGATTTCACCAGGGATTCTTGTGACATGGAACACATAACGTCTTGTATTTGCCCTTCCAGCTCTTCCAAAATCTTGATTTGGTATACCAGACTTGCTCCTTTAACCAACCGTCACGCGCCCCCTAAATTAAGCACCACCATTTTTATAATAATTAGACATTTACTAAGTTTTAAAGGAACAGTCTACATAGGAGACAGCTCTATGGCAGGCACTTTTGAATCCTTGCGTCTGTGTATGTGTGTGCGCGCGCGCATGCGTGACCGTGTGTGTTGTATTATAAGTAAAATATAAATTTTTTTTTAAAAATTTTCACTCTGATTTATTTAAGGATTAAAAATAATTTAAACCGATTGAAAATGATATTATTTGATAATGATATTATGTATAAACATTTTGTCCTATTTTCATTGTTAAATGGCGTTAAGAAAGTTGATTTTTAACTAATATCTTTATTTTTACATTGCATATTCATTTTTGGAAATTGTTGTAGACAGGAAGGTGTGAAGGTGGGGGGGTGTTCCGCAGGTAATTTTCAAAAACAATTTAATGCAGTTTCAATCATTATTTTCTGCCTTCTTCTTTCCTGTTCTTTTATTGTTCTTTAGAATATATGGACTTCCTTGTACTGTAACAGCTGCCATACAAGACATCTAAATATGAATGTAAAAAGTGAAGTCTTTTCTTTTATTGCTTCTAACCGTAAGCATTGAAAAATAAACATTTTTCAAATTTATTCTTTCTATTTTTAACAAAAATAAAATTATGACAAACGAAGAAATAAAAAAATGTGCAGTTTATGAAAAAAAAAAACTCTGAAATGTACAAATTAGAGATTTATTTCTGAACGATGCTCCACGGTCGGATAGAACAGTTGAGAGTAATAAAGAAAATAGTTAACACAGGAGATGCAAAATATATTTAAAATATACCGGAAATCAGTTCTACCAGCATCGTTATGTTAATTACATTGATATGTGAACTGGATGATATACAAATGCTCTGTTTTAGAAACAAACTGTAACGGACGATGAAAAGTGGATACATTACATCGACGTGGAACCGAAAGGATTTATATTTACCTATCAGCTTACGAGGGCAGGCACGTGGTTAGTCTAACCACCCAGTTCTTGCTGTGTCACGCATCTGTCAAAACTCTGAGGTTTTCCTTTCATAAAATGGAGAAGTGCTGCTCCCGATGTACGAATTCCCGGGAGTGGGCCCACCTCGAAATTTGTCATGTTTTACCCAAATGCCAAGTTGGGTGATAGGATATATATAATTTAAATTGTGTGTATTTAGGCAGCATTTTTTCATTAATACATGTTTCATTAAATAATATAGATAAGTGTTGTCTATTTTATGTAAATTTCTTCGTTTAATGATAATGTTATTAAGCTTATCAGACGTTATGAAAAGAATTTACATAAAATAGACAACACTTGTCTATATTATTTAAGGAAACATGTATGAATATATATAGATATATATATGTAGATATATGTATGTATGTATGTATGTATGTATGTATGTATGTATGTATGTATGTGGTATGTATGTGTGTTTGCAATAGTTTTATTTATCATAATTATTTTAGTTTATAACAAATTCACAAGGCAATAAGAAAAGGACAATTGTTATCTTTAATTAACTTTAATAAAGACAAACAGATGTTAATATAATGATCTACATTATTACTTAGGATATTTTTCTATGTATAGCACGCATGAATGCCTTAAAGATGGAAAATGAAAAGTAGCACTTTCACCTTATCACACTTCATGAATTTTGAAAAACGTCCATTAGTTTATGTGTTTTGTATGGTGAATGAGAGAAACGCCCCATAAAAATTATCAAGAAATTGTCCAAACACAAGGACCTGGTGATCAAGATTAACAGGATGTGGGGAATGAAGACTGAGAATATATCAATATTAATCGGACCTCTAGGCCTCGTGAGAAAAGGAAGGGACAATTTTACTAACAGTGTCCCAGGTAACATCAACATACAAGTTGCCCAGAAGATCACCCTACTAAGAACCTTCCATATAATAAGAAAAATCCTTTCAATTAAATGACAATTCTTCTATACGGCCTAAAGAACATAGTTTGGACCCGGCTCTACATGATACAAAGCAGGAAGCATAACATACACAAACAATAATTTCTGCTCTAGTATGAGTTTATTCCATCACTAATAATAATAATAATAATAATAATAATAATAATAAATGCCTAACGATATTTTTTAATCATTTCACCCCAAGCAAGAAAGTAATGCCATTAAGACGCAAGGAGTTACTAGGAGTAAAACAGAATGAAAAGACTTTAGAAGCGACCGGAAACCCAATCCTAAAGCGGAAACAAGAAATAAACCTCTACTGCAGCTCAAAAGAGACGAGAAGGGTATGAACCGTACGGTAGGCGAACCTATCTATTCCAATTGAAGAGAGAGAAAAAATAATTAGAAAATAAAATTTCAAAATTCAAACGAAAACGTTAGATGTATAGAAATTAGAAGGATCCCGACACCCAATCCTAAACTGGAAACAAAGGATAAACTTCAACTCCTGTTCAAAAAGTTGGGAAAGGAGTAAAATGTGAAGCTGGCGTTAGGCGATCCTATTTGCGACGATTCATCAAAGGTTAGTATCTCAACTGGGTGATCCAAATACGGGTAGTACCCCTTTGGGTCGTTACAGCGAAAACGACGCTCTTTATCTATTAACTATTATTTCCTTATTGAGTACTTTACTTATAAAATTTCCCTCGTTTTCAAACGCGTTAAATTCTAGTATTTTTACGTTAGCGATTTGTGCTGTTATTTTTTTTTAAACAATTCACCCCAACCAAGGCGGGCATGCCACTAGCACGCAAGGTGTTACAGAGGATTGAGAACAAGAGTAAAGAGGCATGTGTGGGGAAATGATACAGAGAAGGACGGGGAACAAGCTCAGGGTGTCAGATATCGATTGACATTACACTTGAATATTTTAAGAATTATTATTATTATTATTAATGGATTGATAAATCAAAAGATAGATCGATTGATAGATAGATCGATAGATTGATTTTATTGCTTTTTGTTTTAGTCAACTGTAAACCTTTTATTGATGCCAGTATTCGGGAAACGGCTAAGTGAGAGATTGATATCATCCTTATTTTCAAGTTTGTTATTCCTCCACGTGTGTGGGTAGCCTAACGAGTATCGACACAGAAAGTATAATCGGCGAGACGAGTTCAAATATCAGTCTTGTCTCTTGTGTTCGTTTTCGTACAAACGCCTATGGGAAAGGCATGAATCTCTTTTCTTCCCACCCTGCAGCTATGAATGAAATTAGTGGATGGCAACCAGAGAAAGAAAACTCAAGAAACTACTCCATTATCTTTCCCAAGACAATATGTCGATTCACAAATAATGAAAAAGAAATCAGTGGAGTGTCAAAATCGCCTATATCTTGAATGGACATGGTATTTTTTTTTTATGTCCCCACACTTGGATGAGTAAGCATACCTGGTGATGTAACTTTGGGTTTGAGGGTGGTGTAATGGATAATGGCTCGAGTTTCAATTCCAGTTGTATTCGTTATATTCACTTACACGCAAATAACCATGAGAAAGGTATGAATCCACCTCTTCTCTCCCCAGCTATGGGTTAATTAGTAAGGCATGTAACACTTTATTTAGTCTACCGGGGTAGATTGTTCTAGTTTCACGTGCCATGCCTCTTCCGGGTGTCGCAGTTATTCCTCAAGGAAACGTGGACCAGTGGATAAAGACGTTGGTTAGATCCGGTGACTAGAATCAAAGAGTTGTGAGTTCAAGACCAGGCCGCAGCAGTGGTGAAACAAAAAAACTTGGAGAGTTGAGCTAAAGGGAAATAACTAAGACATCCGTAAGTGGCGTGGCATGTGGAACTAGAACAATCTACCCCGGTGGACGAAATAAAGGGTTTGGTTCGAAATTCCGATCAACTGAAGAAGGCCGGAGCGTACAACGGTCTAAACGTTGTGAATATAGCAGTGAAAATGGGGCTAACAGTCCGAATAATGTAAATCATGCAAGTAATCAAAATACCTCATCTCAGAGATATAGACAGATAAAGATCTTGTACTTCAAAAAGACGAATATTACAAAGAAGAAAGGTAAACATTTTTTCAAATGAACTTGTCATAATTCGACTCAGCATTAAATAAATAAATGAAACCGCTTTCCAATAATAGTGCAATGTATCCCAAGGCTTGCAGCTTTCAAATAATCAACATTGTAAGATTCGGAAAAAATAATCTTGCACATACGTTTTCTAATTGAGTATTTCATTTCTGAGGTGATTAATTGTCAATATACCTTTATTATTTTGATGATGGCCTGAGGGCACTTGCTCGAAACGTCGTGTCTATATTAACATTTTTATCAACCGAGATGAGAACATTAAATCGAAATAATAAGAGTATATTGACAATTTTTCATCTCAAAAATGAAATTCTACTTTATGAAAGTCAGTAAGAACTCCACCCTGCAACTTTTATCCCACAAAAGAAATGTTGCCAGCTTTTCACTACTCTATCGCTAATTACTATGACATATGTTCAGACGAGTTATTTCCTTAGTGCACCAGTTCAGACCTTCACAGCTATAGGACCACCATGCCATTTTCACAGTGGTAAAAAAAAAACAAGATCTACTCAGACATTTTCTTGAT